AACTGACCCCTTCCACGTATACATGTCCCTAGGAGGGGTGGCTGGTGCAGGCGCCACTCCTCTCGTGCTTGCTTGTGTGACATGACAACTATAACTGGCCACTGCAAACCAGAGTTTGAACTAATAAATTGCTGTGGTTCCTTTGTGGGGGGTTAGCTTTTACCCTCTTTGCCGTGGCCTTGACCCAGAGTTAAGTTTCCTATTTAACAATGTGACAGTCATCCTCCTCTGTTATTTGTTGCATCTCTGATTCTTGTGTTGATCACTTGGAGTCTTACTAAATCTGTGATTTTTATTATAAGTGGCCTCAAATCCTTTTTGGAAATGGGTTTTGAGAGTCATAAAAATGTAATGAACCAGGGTGCCAGCCTACCTCTGAAGAATCAGTCAGAAATATCTGCATGGGAACCCAGCCTGGGCTCATTGAAAACTCCCCTGCAGGGTGAGTGATATTTAATTTTCTAAAATGATTCATTCAGACCAGTTGGATTTTTTTTTCCAAATGGAGCTTGTTCCCACGCATAAAACCATTATCTGCTTTGGAACTATGTCTTAACCCTACATGTGTAATGGAGAGAAAACAAACAAATAAAAATTTAGAAAAATAGCCCTGGCGGCTAGCCTGTCATGCTCCCACCGAGCAGAAACAACTCGACAGAATGTCAACAATAATTAGATGAGCCCATCCTGTGACCATGGTGGAACAAGACAAAAATAAGGCCACTTCTTAATGAGGACTGAACATGAGGCAAAGACACAAACGCTGCGCCACCAGGAAAGTGACCAAACACCTCCCTCTCTCGGCCGATGTGAGTGACGGCTGTTTCTTTACCAGTGACAGCTCTAGCTCCACTTCGCTCCTGCTGATTCCTGGATCATCAAATTGCTCTGCTTCTCGACAGCACCCAACTGGGAACAAACCTCTATTTCCTTGTACCCTTCCCCAAATCCCCTAAAACGAACTCCAAACGCGGACTTGGTATAACAAGATTATACCTTGTTACATCAAGTATAACAAGCCCCCTGACTTCCTCTTGTAAGATACTCCGCAGTTCCTGCAGTGAGTTCTGCCTCGCTGTGGTAGGTTAGTACACCTAACTTTGTTTCACTACAGGTGCGCTCCTGCTCAGGAGTCTTTACCAATCACCTGTTCAGGACACACTAACGTCCACTGCTACTGCTACATGACAGCCCTGCTCTGGGCCACCGTCGGCTCTCAGCGGGGTTACCCAATAGCTCCCTAACTGCCTGTCCAAATTGCTTTCAACCTCTAGGTTCTTCTTAGGGCAGTGCTGATAATGATACCCCCCCAAAATAATTCAGATCACGTTACTCCTCTGCTCCCACTCTCCAATGGCTGCCATCTTGTTCAGTGTAGAAGCCAAAATCCTTACTGTGGGTCCTAAGGCCCTATGTGATCTGAACCTCCTCTTGCCATCTCCCCTCACTCACTGTGCTCCAGCCTCATTGGCCTCCTTGCTGCTCCTGGATCACACCAGGCATGCTCCTGCCTCAGGGCCTTTGCACTTGCTGTTCCCTCTGATTACTGTGCTTTCGATGCAGACATTTGCAAAGCTTCCTTCTGCATCTTCCTCAAATCGTTGCTCAAATGTCACCTTCTGAATGAGGCCCTCCCCGACAATCCTCATCCTAGCACTTTCAACCTGCCTTATTCTACTTTATTATTCTCTGTAAATTTTTCACCATAAAACATACTATACGATTTATTAACTGTGTTCATTGTCTGGCTTCCATGAGAATGAAGGCAGGCATCTTTCTCTGTGTTGTTCCGGGATGTAGCCCAAATCCCTAGAACAGAACAAATTACTTAACCATTTTATGCCTCAGCTTCCTCATCTGTAAAATGGGGAAAAAAATAGTACCTACTTCACGAGGACTAGATTATGTGATTTAACATACCTAAAGTGCTCAGAACAGTTCCTGGAGCATGGTAAAGAGCTATACAAATGTTTGCTATTTTTAACAGCATCGACAGCATTATTATTCTTACTACATTATTAGTTCAGGTGGCAAAGTAGCACAGGCCAAGACATAGAGGTGGGAAGCAGTGTGATGTGACGAGGAACTGGAGGGTGGCAGTGGCGATGTCCATGCGGGGAAGGGACAGTCAGGGACTGTACCATCACCCAAAGTCATACGTTGGGTTTTCCATTGTTTATGATCTATCTCTGCCTACTAAGATGCAAGCGCCATGAACTCCACGAAGAACTTGTGTGGTAAATCACCGTATCCCAGGCTTTTAGAAAGGTCACTGGCAACATAGTGGGTGCTCAATAAATATTAATTGAATGAATGATTGGTTAAGGATTTTGAACTTTGTCCTGAAAACTATTGGTCAATCGATGACGCCGGGTGGAACAGTAGATGGGGGGCTAGGAAGCAAATCATCAGTTCCCCCCGACAGTGTAAGGTCTGAGAGTAGCCATTCCTTTGCAGACGAAAACAGGGCGTTGGTGTGGGGACGAGGATGAGGGGTGGCCTCCAGGTGGCAGTGCCATTCATGGAGGTGGAGAAAATGGGCGGAGGGGCAGATTCAGCGAGAGATGAGGGTTTCTGTCTGGGATATGTTCAAGTTGTGTGCGTCTGAAACTCAACAAAGAGGCTGGAGTTAGAGGGAGAGGCCTGGGGGTCAGTGGCACGTAAGGGGTGGTAGAGGCCAAGGGTCTGGACGATGTGGCCCGGGTGACCGTCGTGTGCCCATGCACTGCTCCCTGCTCACAGCTCGCTCGGAGCTTGTCTCCCTGCCAAGACTGGATTCTTTCTGGGGATGGCAATACCTTCCCCGCAGGGTGCTGTGCACAGTACACAGCAGTGCTGTACACAGTGCACAGTTCAGGGCTAGGAAGATGGTCAAGCACAGAGCTTCTAGAGCAGAACGGAACCTTCAAAGCCAACTTACAGGAGAGAATGAGGCCCAACGCGGTTAAACCACCTGCCTGAGGTCACTCAGCAGGACAGCCACGGGGCTGGCTGTAGGACCCGCCTCCAGACTGCCCAGCCCTGCCCTTCCGCGGAGGCCGCGTTGCCTGGGGGCAGCGAGTCCAGCCAGCTCGGAGGGCTGGCAGGGCTTTGAGCGCTCTTAGCTTCTGTGAGCTCATTCTCTTAATTGTCTCCTGACTGCTAACTGGGACCATGCCGCATGTGAAGCACAGTGTCTGGCACACAGCGGGTGCCCAATAAGTGTTGACTTTCCATTGCTTTCTCCTAAGAAGACAGGGGATTTGGCATAACACAGAAAGTATACAAGAGTGATGGCTGAAAGGCCGAAAGGACCCCTGTCGTCAGATTCGCCCCTGGCGTTGAGATAGGCGCTGTCGCTCTCCCCCAGCGTGTGCCAGCGTAGGCCCCGGCTGGTGACGCCAGGCTGTGGGCGTGTGGCCGCCTCCCCTCCGCCCGCCCCGCCGTCCTCGCGTCCTCCCCGCCCGGCTCAGGGGACCCGGAGGGAGGGAACGGCTCCCTGCTGGGGACAGCCTTCCCGGCTTGGCGCAGACAAAGGACGGACACAGGCGGGGTCTGAGTTGGGAAGGTAAGATGGGCAGAAGGAGGAGAACTGGAAAAACCTGGGAAGTCGTTCTGGAAGGATTCCTGGGCTTTGGGCCCTGGACTTGCTGGGGGCCGGAGGACTTGCCGAGGGGAAGGAGAGCTCGGCGCGGGCTGCCCCGCGGGCCCTGTCCCCCCAGAGCCCTGTCCTCCCAGGATCTGTCGCAGTCCAACTTTCTTTATTCAGTCCCTCTGTTTCTCGCTGGTCACAGGAGAAAATGAAATCGAAAGCAGGACTTGTTTGACGCAGTGCATTCGCTGGGGTGTCTTGATTCTCTACTCTGATGTTTTGCTAGTTTCCTTGACTTTCTTTCCTTCTCTGCTTTATACCAGCTCACCTCACATCCGCTTGTAACTGGGACTGTCTGCAGGGGTTTGGTTCCAAGATTTCAATGCCCGGTGATTGTGTTTGTGTTGCACAGTTGATTGATGACCTCAGAGGGTCTAATCAATGAACCTCTGAGGCTTTGAAAAAGTCAGAGGGGTGAGATTGCTGAAAACCGGTTGCTTTGTGAATTGTGTAGTAGATGCAGTTATTTACATATTCAGGAAAGAATTTGGGGCTGTCTGATGATTGGATTGGATCTATAATTCTCCGATGTGATTGAGGACAGTTGGACTAAATTTATACCTCCGGGTTCCCTATTTGTGTAGTAACTATATGCACGTGGGTGGGGAGAATAAGATTTGTTAAAAATATTTTTCATAATGGGACATAATTAGCCCTGACATTCATTGAGTGCCTAATACTCACAGCACATTGTGCTTTAATGCGCTTGACACGCATGACCATGTTTATTGTGGTCCACATTCGAGGAAGCAGAAAATTGAGACTCAACAATCTAAAATTATACATCAGGAAGCAACAACATAAAGTTACACAGTGAGGACTGAACTCTGACCTTTTCTGTTGCCCCCAAATTCCTTTCTAATGGGGCCTGGTGAGTCATGCCTACAAATGATAAAATCTCACTAAACGGGTTTTGTTAACCCAATATAATGTGGTTTACTTCCCAACCCGATTCTAGCATGGCATGAAAGATAGATGATCCTTATCTTAACTCCTTTCTGCTGACTCCTGGTCTTTTAGACAAAGCCTATCTCTTTCAGCCAATTGTCAACTAAAGAATCTTAAACCCACCTATGACTCGTAAGTCCCCGCTTTGAGATGTCCCACCTTTTTGGGCCAAACCAACGTATGCTTTCCATGTATTGATTTATGACTTTACCTGTAATTCCTGTCTCCCTAAAATGTATAAAACCAAACTGGAACCCAACTACAGCAAGTCCACTTGCTCAAGGCTTCTTGGGTGTGGCTGCAGGTCATAGTCCTCAAATTTGGCTCAGAATAAACCTCTTTAAATTATTTTACAGGGTGTGGCTTCTTTTCCATTGACAACAACCAGGGGCTCAAACTTATATCTGGCTGAAGTCACAGTCCAAGTTCTTTCCACTACTTGGATGCTCCCTGACTTACGATGGAGCTACATCCTGACAAACCCACACGAAAATATAGTAAGTTGAAAATGAATTTAATATAGTAACCTACTGTACATCATAGCTTAGCCTAGCTTAACTTAAATGTGCTCAGAACACTTACATTAGCTGGGCAAAATCATCTAACACAAAGCCTATTTTATAATAAAGTGTTGAATATCCCATGTAATTTACTGAATACTATACTGAAAGTGAAAAACAATGGTTACATAGTTACTCAAAGTATGATTTCTACTGAATGTGTATTGCTTTCACACCATCATAAAGTCAAAAAAATGTAAGTGGAACAATGGTAAGTCGGGGATCATCTGTATTTGAATAGGGACACACAGTTATACAAAGAGAACATGTAAAGTCAGTGAACACAGTGATCTACCTTCCTGGTGATATAAGAAATGCAAATGGACAAAATCCATGAAATACATTTTTCCTATTAAATGAGAGTTTTCCCCCCTTAGAAGCCACCTATTTCTGGTAAGAATATGTTTGTTTACATGACGTTGAAAGAAATTTGTTAACATAGGTTGAAAATCCTAAATTCAATTATCTTCTTGACCAGTCATTCAGGTCTTTGAGGTCTGTCATAAGAAATCTATCATAAGATCTGTCATAGGAAAACAAGCTAAAATTAGCTGCAACGCCATTTAGAATTGTCTAAAAACTTTTAATTAAAAAATCTTGTCTAAAATTTATTTTTGAATATAATAGTAATAGAGAAATGAAACAACTGTATCATGACATATTGCACAGCCATTAAACTTTTTAAAAAATCTTTGTAACAGCATAGGAGATTATTTATGGTATGATGTTAAATGAAAAAATCAGGATACAAAGTTATGTAGCATGAGCCCAACTGTTTAAAAAAACTATAGAAATATGCTGAAATTTTAACAGTGGCTGTTTCTGGGTAGTGGGACTATAGAGTAATAATTTTCTTATTTTGAATTTACGTATATTCACAATATTCTACAATTTTAAAGTTCTATAATAAATAAGTAGATACATTCAGAAAAAGTTGCCAGTAAAATTAATTTCTCTGATTCAAATGTTTTCATCCCTATTACAAAGTATCTCTCCCTGTCTCCAGGTGGAATGCCGGAAGACAGAACATGGTTCCTCCTCATACTGCTGATCCACAGTAAGATAACCAATTAGATCCCAAGGAGATAATTTTCATTTTCTCAAAAAAAGGCAAAAAGTTGCAGCCAGTGGCATTTACCATTATGGAGACCAAGGGTTATGACCATGCCCAGGAGGGACCCGCGTCCTCCAGCAGTAGGCCGGCTACCATGGACGACAACCGCTTATTGATCAAAGCTGTTGGAAAAGAAGATGTCCAGATGGTCCAGCAATTGCTGGAAAGAGGAGCTGATGTCAATTTCCAGGAAGAGTCAGGGGGCTGGACAGCGCTGCATAATGCAGTGCAGACTGGCAGGGAGGACATTGTGGAACTTCTGCTTCATCACGGTGCGGACCCGTGCCTGAGGAAGAGGAATGGGGCCACTCCCTTCATCGTCGCAGCGATCGTGGGAAATGTGCAGCTGCTCAGACTTTTCCTCTCCAAGGGAGCAGATGTCAACGAGTGTGATTTTCACGGCTTCACGGCTTTCATGGAAGCCGCCGTGTACGGTAAGGTCGAAGCCTTAAGATTCCTTCACGGGAGTGGCGCAGAGGTGAATTTGAGCAGGAAGACAAAGGAGGATCAGGAGCGGCTCAGGAAAGGAGGGGCCACGGCGCTCATGGATGCTGCTGGGGAAGGCCACCTGGATGTCGTGGGGATCCTCCTGGATGAGATGGGGGCGGATGTCAACGCCTGTGACAATATGGGCAGGAATGCCTTGATCCACGCTCTTCTGAGCTCTCGTGATAGGAACGTGGAGGCTATTACCCGCCTGCTGCTGGACCGTGGGGCTGATGTCAACGTGAGGGGAGAAAGAGGGAAAACGCCCCTGATCCTGGCAGTGGAAAAGAAGCACTTGGCTTTGGTGCGGATGCTTCTGGAGCAAGAGCACGTAGAGATCGATGACACAGACAGCGAGGGCAAAACCGCCCTGCTGCTTGCTGTTGAACTCAAACTGAGCGGCATCACCCGGTTGCTGTGCAGCCGTGGGGCCAGTACAGATTGCGGGGACCTTGTCATGATAGCCAAGCGGAATTATGACCGTCCCCTTGTGAAGTTTCTTCTCCTCCATGGGGCTAGAGAACGTTTTCACCCTCCGGCCGAAGACTGGAAGCCTCAGAGTGCCCGTTGGGGGGCAGCCCTGAAAAATCTCCACAGAATATACCGCCCTATGATCGGCAAACTCAAGATCTTTATTGAAGAAAAATACAAAATTGCTGACACTTCTGAAGGGGGCGTCTACCTGGGGCTCTATGAGGAGCAGGAGGTAGCTGTGAAGACGTTCTGGGAGGGCAGCACACGTGCGCAGCAGGAAGTCTCCTGTCTGCAGAGCAGCCGAGAGAACAGTAACTTGGTGACACTCTACGGGAGTGAGAGCCACGGGGGCTGCTTGTACATGTGTGTCACCCTCTGTGAAGAGACGCTGGAAGCGCGCTTGGTTGTGCACAGAGGGGAAACTGTGGAAAATGAGGAAGATGAGTTTGCCCGAAACGTCCTCCTAGCTGTATTTACGGCTGTTCGAGAACTGCACTTGTCGTGCGGATACACTCACCAGGATCTGCAGCCACAAAACATCTTGATAGGTGAGTTCCCGACCCGCAATTCTCCCTTTGAAACTGTAGGGTCTTTGTTGACAAAAGGAAGAGTTTTCCATTGTATAAAGGAAAGGTCTAGAGTAAATGTGGATTATTCAGTTTGAGGATTATTACACTAAATTCCTAGTTACAGTGCAGTCTCTCCTGCCGCCAATTATAACTGAGTTCCCTTACTCCACACGGAGGTTGGTGCATGCCCGCAGAATACCAGGCTAGCCTGATATGCCCTTAGCAAAATAAAGATATGCAGGTATGTCTCAGATGAAACCAGCTCCGGACATTTGAAGTCCTAAAGAAGTCTGCAAGCCAGAGAATCCTACAGGTGAGTTCCTTCAGACGAGGCGGCAGTAACTATGAAACTTAATGGCAAAACTGAGGTCAAAATTGAGGATGTCAGGACAAGATGTGACACAATGAAGACATAGACTTCAAGGCAGAACAAGCCAGAATCCACTGGTCCAAGCCCAAAGCAAAATAAATGAAAACAACATTAAAGGGAACAAGCAGAGCTGAGTGTAGAGTCCCAGGAGGCGACATGGTACAGTGGAACGAGCCAGGGCTCCAGCCACAGTTGGGGTGGCTTAAAGCCTAGTCCCACTGTTTTGTATAACATAATAGCTTTGTAACCTCAAACAAGTCACTTGATTCTGTGGGCCTCAGTTTCCTCATTTGAGGCTGATAATGCCTCCTTCATAAGGTTTTTTATGAGGTCTAAATGCAGTATATTAAGCAGACAAGTCACCTGGTACATTGTGGTTGCTCAGGAAAGGCCAGGTGCTTGTCTAAGGGTCTAAGCAGAGTAGATACCTGATCCATAGACATGCACTGAGATTTAAGCTCGGTGTAAGGGAACAGGACAAAAAGAAGGTGCAGGTATTGAGAGACAGAGAAGAGTATTTAAGGTCCTGGAAGAGAGAAGCAGGTATATGTAAGAACACAACTGGGATCTGGACTTTAGTTTGAGGACAGGTACTGATGACATGCCTTTCTGGCTTTTAGCAATTTTACTGGGGAGATTGACCAGGGCCAGAAGGTATGTATAGTTCCATAACGTGAAGCAGAGTATTCAAGATTCGGCCAAGGGTGAAGTCCTCCCCAGTTCTGTTGATCTTGATTCAAGTATCATATAACATGTTCTAAAGAAAAAATGACTTGTGTACTGTCTGTCCTTTGGACTTCCTGGCATCATTATTCCATTCTAAAGTTTGAACAATAAATAATTGCTTATACTTCTATCTCAATGTGGTGAACCTCATACATGCTACAGAAATCTATTCCTTGCATCAAACCCTTAAAATGGTAGGAAAAGAAAAGGGCAGAAGCTCTGACAACCAGTTCCATCCCTCCTGCGCATTGACATTAACAGAAGCAACTCACACAGCACCAGGGATTCTCAGCTGCAAAGTTGGGCTTAAGAGTAAAAAATCATTTAAGATACGTAGGGAGTACCAATAGCATGAAAGAGATTCATCAAACAGAAGAATTTACACCCAGGGAAACAGAACTAACTGAATGTGCTAGTTTCCTATGGCTACTGAAACAAATTGCCACAGTCTTGGTAGCTTGAAGCAACAGAAATTCATTCTCCCACAGGAGGCAGAATTACAAAATCAGCTCCACTGGCCCCAAATCAGGTGTAGGAGGTGGAAGCTGCAGGAGAGAATCTGTTCCTTGCCTCTTCCAGCTTCTGGTAGCTAGCTTATGGGCACATCACTCCCATTTCTGCCTCCGTGGTCACCTTGCCTTCTTCTCTTCTGTCATCAAAACTCCTTCTGCCTTCTTCACGTAAGGATACTTGTCATTGCGTTTAGGACTCACCCTGATAACCCAGAATAATCTCCCCATCTCAAGATTCCTAACTAAATCCCATTTGCAAAGTCCTTTTTTTATGATATAAAGTAACATTCACACATTCCAGGAATTAGAATGTGAATATTTATTTAGCCTATCATATTGAGTAACCACAATACAAATTTAAAGTAAGTATCATTGATAAAGCCAGAGAACAAAGATAGGTTATTACATCTAAGAAGCAAAGATAGCATTGGGAAAAGAACCAAATAGAGAATTTAGGAATTAAAAATATAATTATTGTAATTAAAACCACTCAAGAAACTAATAAGTGATTATAGCAGAGTTGCAGGATATGAGGTTAATATAAACAGGTTAATCACTTTCCTATTTATCAGCAATGCACAAGTGGAATTTGGCATTAAAAACAATACCATTTATATTATCAACCCCCAAAGATAAAATACTTAGATCAAGATCTAGAAAAATATGCACAAGATCAACATAGGAAAACTAATAAGACTCTGATGAAAGAAATCAAAGAAGAGCTAAATAAATGGAGTGATATTCCATATTTACGGATAGGAAGACTCAATATTTCCAAGATGTTAGTGCTTTCCAAATTAGTCTATAGATTCAATGAAATCCCAATCAAAATCCCAACAGATTATTTTGTAGATATTGACAAACTGATTCTAACATTTATATGGAGAGGCAGAAGACCCAGAATAGCCAACATGATATTGAAGGTGAACAAAGTCAAAGGACTGACACTACCCGATTTCTAGACATGCTATAAATCTATGGTAATTGAGATAGTGTGGTTTTGGCAGAAAAATAGACAAATATATCAATGGAACAGAATAGAGAGTCCAGAAATAGACCCACACAAATTTAGTCAACTGACCTTCGGCAAAGGAACAAAGGCAATACAATGAATAAAAGATAGTCTTTTCGACAAATGTGCTATAACTCCTGGACATCTTCATGCAAAAAAGAATGAACCTAGACACAAACCTCACACCCTTAAAAAAAAATTAGCTCAAAGTGGATCATGGACCTAAATGTAAAATGCAAAACTATAAAACTCCCTAGAAGATAACATAGGAAAAAATTTAGATGACCTTGGGTTTGGTGATGACTTTTTAGATGCAACACCAAAGGCACGATCCATGAAAGAAGAATCGATAAGTTATAGGAATTAATTGACTTTATTAAAATTAAAAATTGCTGCTCTGCAAAAGATACTGTGAAGAGAATGAAAAGAAAAGCCACAGACCAGGAGAAAATATTTGCAAAGGACGTAGCAGATAAAGGATTGTTATCCAAAAATATATGGAAAGCTCTTAAAACTCAACAATAAGAGCACAAACAATATGATTAAAAATGAGTCAAAGACATTAATAGATACCTTATAAAAGAAGATACACAGATGGCAAATATGCATATAAAAAGATCCTCTACATCTTTTGTTATCAGGGGAATGCAAATTAAAACAACAATAAGAAACTATTGCACACTTATTAGAATGGCCACAGCACAGAACACCGACAATACCAAGTGCTTAGGAGGATGTAGAACAATGGAAACTCTCCTTCACTGCTAGTGGGAATGCAAAATGCTACAGCCACTTTGGAATGCTACAGCCAGTTTGACAGTTGCTTGCAAAACAAAGTATGCTCTTACCATATGATCCAGCGATCACGTCCCTTGGTATTTACCTAAAGGAGCTAGAAACTTACGTTTACGCTAAAACCTGCACACAGATGTTTACAGCAGCTTTATTTATAATTGCCAAAACTCGGAATCAATTGAGACGCCCTTCAGTAAGTCAATGGATAAATAAACTGTGGTACATCCAGACAATTAGCTATTACTCAGTGCTCAAAAGATGTGCCACGGAGAACAGGTGTATGCAAGCTTATCCACAAAGTCCAAGGAAGCTGAGAGACTGAAGAAAGAGACTGATGAATCCATTTTCTCAGAAAGAAACATTTAATGGGGTAATAGGGACTTAGGAAGAGAAGCCACGTCTGGCAGTGGGAAGCGAAAAGATGGTGGAGGTCTGTGCCATTCTTTTCGAACAAACAGGAAAGTATAAAGGGATGGAAAGTATTAAAAAAAAATTACAGGGGGATGAAGACAACTTGACTAATGGGTACAAAAATACAGTTAGAGAGAAGAAATAAGTCTCGTATTTGACAGCACAAATAGGGAAATTATAGTTAACAATAATTTGTTGTATATTTTAAAATAGCTAAAAGAGAAGAATTGTAATGTTCCCAACACAACGAAGAGATAAATGTTTCAGGTGATGGATATTCTAAAACTCAAAAGCTCCCAAAGAGAAAAGAAATCACCTACATAGAAACCAGAATCAGATTGGCATAAGACTTCTCTCCTCAGCAACTTGGGTGTAAGAAGAAAAAGCTGAAGAGAACAAAGCGATTTAACAGCTAAATTATCATCCGCATGTGATTCAAAATAAACACATTTCTAAGTGTTGAAGGATTCAGAAAACTTTCCACCCACAGACCCTACATGAAAGAACTGCTGAGAGTGTGCTGTAGGAAGCAGTGAGAGAGTTTGGGAGAAATCAGTGACTTATAGGAAGCAGGTTGAACAAAGAAATAATTAACTTTTTAACGTTCCCTACATAGGCGTTATTTTTGCTTTTTTGAAAAACAAAAAAGCCGGGCCGGGCATGGTGGCTCACACCTGTAATCCTAGCACTCTGGGAGGCTGAGGTGGGAGGATCGCTCAAGGCCAGGAGTTCAAGACCAGCCTGAGCAAGAGTGAGACCCCCGTCTCCACTAAAAATAGAAAGAAATTAGCTGGACAACTAAAAGTATGTAGAAAAAAATTAGCTGGGCATGGTGGCGCATGCCTGTAGTTCCAGCTACTCGGGAGGCTGAGGCAGAAGGATTGCTTGAGCCCAGGAGTTTGAGGTTGCTGTGAGCCAGGCTGACGCCACGGCACTCTAGCCCGGGCAACAGAGCAAGACTCTGTCTCAAAAAAAAAAAAAAAAAACAGAAAGTAAAAAGCTGTTAATCCTAGATGATGTTGCTGCAGTGGGAGCGAGGGTTGGGTGGGGAGGAGGGTGAGGGAAGAAAGAGGACTGAGGTTCCTAACTCACCTGCACCAGGGCGGAGGGCAGATTTTGTTGTACCTGCCCATCAACTGCTTGTTACCAGTGTGGTATTATTTAATTACAGAAACTAAGCCTAAGTGTTTAAAAATTTTTATAGCACAATAACAATATCTGTTGACTCTGATAGTAAAAAGCTGAGTTCTGTAAAAAAAGAAAATCAAGTGTTAGAAGGGAAGTTAAATGTTCCATTGAGGCACTTGCAAATTCAAGTAGCAGAAAGCTCAACTCAAAGTGGCTTAAACAATGAAAGGAATTGATTGATTCAAGTAATTGTAAATAATCCCTGGTTTCCGATCTGCGCCCTACCTGCCGCTTCAGACTCGTCACAGGCCACTTCTGACTTCTCCCTGCTCTTGTCATACTCAGACCTTTTTTCCATCAGATTGGAATTCTCCAGGCTTCTCAGGAATTCTCAGGAATTTCCATCTGGAATTCTTTCTCCCCTCTCTTCTGCACTCCCCTTTTCTACCCCAGTTCTACTCATCTTCTCAGTCTAAGTGTCTCTTCCTTAAGGAATCCCCTCACCCCCACCACTAGCCATGTAGCTCTTCCGTAATACACTTTCAGAGCATCCTGGGCATTTTGCTAGCATTTCCAAAATTGCAATGAATTTTATATTTATTTGTGTGATTATTAATTATTCATTTAATATCTGTCTCCTTGCCCAGAGACTCCTGGACTATGTTCTCCTTCTTCACCTGTCCTTTTATCCCTCAATAAACACTTGTTGAAAAATGTAATGGGCTCATTTTTATCACTTGTTGAAAAATGTAATGGGCTCATTTTTATCAGACTCTGAGTTCCCGCACGACTTTGATGTCTAAGTTCAGAATCAAAGAGGTTCTAGAAGCACATAATTGTACTGGTCACTGTCCTAATTGGGGATACCCAGCCTTCCTTCTCAGACTCCTTCAAGCCAGAGGCAGGGGACCGCCTCTCAGAAGACAAATCACTGACATTCCCTCCTTTCACCCTGTTCCCGAACTCTCAACCATTCATCCCCGTTTTGGAGGACTCAGCGGCTTCATTCAAGGGAAGAAGATTCTGGAGGGGACAAGGAAGCAGTAACTCACTGCAAGCACATCGTTGACCCATGATAACTGTTTCAAATGTCATAGTGGCTGTGACTGGTTAGCTCGATCTAGTGGACAGTCTTGGATTTCAAGCTTTGTTGGTTAGTTGTTTTTTAGCCATAGCATGTGACCTTAACTCCCGCCAGCAGCTCCTTTACAAGTCTACGCTGATTGCCCCAGGAACTGCGTGAATGGGGAGCTGGTTATATTAAGCCTCATCTCTTCCTACCCCTTGGCCTGGAAAAAATAAAATAAAAAGTCCTGCTCTTGGCAGAGACCTAATAGATGGAACAAAACAGTGCAAATGACAAAGTGTTTTGAGGAATAAATAGCAATACAGATATAAGGTTAGTACCTTCCTCCGAGGTGATGGATTGTACAGGATGCTACATGTTTATTTAAATCAATTGACTCTCACATCGTGGAGAATGAATATTTTCAGTATGCCTCTGCAAACTCTTCCTTAGATTCTAAGAATGCTGTTCGCCTGGCAGATTTTGATAAGAGCATCAAGTGGGCTGGAGATCCACAGGAAATCAAGAGAGATCTAGAGGTAATTTCTACAACCCAGCCTACTTTCTCTTCTTGCTGCTTCTTTATTCATTCATTGCCTTATTTTCTATGGCCAATTAGAGGACGTTCCTGTTTTAACCAGGAAGAAAGGAACTTTCGAGGCTTCCCCCCCATCTTGTTCACTGTCCTCATTTCCCTGTAGACCACAGCATTTCCTGGGGCCTCTCCCACAGCAGAGCTTTGAAGATGAAGAGGAGAAGGTATAACAGCCTGGGTCAGTGTAGAGTTGGCTGTCTCTGTGGCACCTTTCTGTACCTCTTTGGATCTCTCTGTTCCTCTGCCAGCTACATAAGTAAATAAATTGAGCAGGCCACACCTCTACTCCAAATACTTCCAGGAGGGATTTTCAAAATCTCGCCAAAATACACCCAGGAGTTATTTTTCTGCCTCTGGACAAAGTATTAATAAATGAGATCTCTTTTTCCATCTCATTCAAACTCGTAGGCTAAGCTCTGAAGAAGGCCAGTTACCAAGGGCCTCCGAGAACACCTGGGAGGGATAAGGCCGATCCCCATCTTGAAAAGAGCCTAAGCTTGGCCAAAACGGTTCAGACCCTGAAACAGCTGTTGCTCCTGAGTGGACACGGAGACTGGCCTCTGCAGACCAGAACTCCCAGGCTGACTCTGACCCTGGTGGGGCAGTTCTGTCTTGGAGAGTTTCCCAGTGTGCTGAACTTTGGACGCAATGGACAAGAGCTCTCCATCCATGTGTCTGGCCTCTTGGTTTGGTGGCTCCAGATTTTGGCACTTCCCTGACTGGTGTTCTGCCTAGTGCAGAGAGTTCCTAAGGAGAACCTCCTTCTCCACCTTTCCTTCCTGCCTTGTCCCAGCTCCTGGGACCCTCCTGTCCTAGAGTGGCTCCTTTATCTGCTGCCTGATGTAGCCCCAGACCCAAAGACCCAGGTCCCAGACAGGCTCCTAGTATTCCCCTTGTTTAAAATATTCTCCCTTTCTCCAATTTATCTATAGTCTATACATACATTTGAGGCCCAGCTCAAATGCCTTTTCCTCCAAGCAGTCTGCCCTGACAACTCTGTCCCAGAATTAGCTCTCGCTCTTGTAAACCTAAATTGTGTGGACCTTGAAGAGTTCTCTGTGTAGAAATTTGTGTCTTTGCTTTCTAATAAGCCTGCAGACTCACTCCCTAAGATTCCTCCTGTCTTCCATTTGCTTATGTCCTACACTGCACCTTCCAGGGTTACACAAATAGAGAAGTAATTCACAAGCACCTTTGGCTTGATTTGCGGCTTTTGTGCAGGCCCTTGGACGGCTGGTCCTGTATGTGGTAAAGAAGGAAGATGTCTCTTTTGAGAAGCTGAAAGCTCAAAGTAATCAAGAGGTGGTTCTGCTTTCTCCAGATGAGGAAACTAAGGACCTCGTTCATCGTTTATTCCACTGTGGGGAAAACATGAGGGACTGTCTGAGTGACCTGCTGGGTCACCCCTTCTTTTGGACTTGGGAGAGGTAAGTAAAACTTGAATGGCTACCGCAGGACGTGCAGAGGGTGAGCTGGTATGGGCAGGAGTTGGGGCTGGGAATCGGCAGACCCAGGCTTTCCTCTCCGCTTGATGTTTATTAGCTGTGTGTCCTTGGAGAGATGACCTAACCTCTCTGGATTCTGGTTTTCTCTTCTGAAGACTGTTGGGGAGATGGGGAAGAGATGCCTACTTCTCCCATCATGCAGAATTTTTGAAGACATGGTTTGACTACTTGTATTAAAAACCAAAATCTAATAATTTTCTGTTTCTGGAAAGAGCGAGAAGGATGGAATGATCGTGATGATTCTGTCACCCTCAGCCGCTATAGGACACTTCGGAATGTGGGAAATGAATCCAACATCAAAAAGCGGGATTCTACAAGTGAGATCTTCAAACTCCTGCAACTTGGACCATCTGAACATTCCAAAAGTTTTGCCCAGTGGACTAAAAAGGTATGAATTGTTCCTATGGTCCAGGGGTTATTCCAGGAATGAGAATCCGTGTAATGTTTTGTGTTAGTTTTTCTAACTTATTTTATACCCTTGGCTGACCAGGGGCTAAAAAGGTGATTTCTTCCTCCCACTCCCCGACTCAGGCTCTCTTGGCTCTTACAGGTCTCTACTGCCCCTTTCGGGGGCCAGGTCCTCCCTCTGTCCCTGAGACCCGAGTAAACTCCCATTTTCTCTGTGTACTACAGAGTAGACCCTGACAGACTGTGATTCAGGCTTCCCCTTAGGATGGCCTTGTCCCAGCCCCTGGGCCTTTCCCCCACGCCTGGCTGATAATTCTATTACCATTATGATAAGAGCAGAACTGGAGCTTCACCCTGGCAAGGTGCACCACCACCAGGCGTTTCAGTCCAGGGAGAAGCTGGCTGCCTCCGCTGCCTGTAAACAGCCCAGCTCTGAGGATCTGTGTACAAACCTACATTCTACATTCTACGAAGAAAAGATGATCTTTCAAATTCCCCCTTTTCAAGAAAAGTTCCACTTAACTTGAACTATATATAGTGAAACTCCACAAAATTAATCACTGTCTCAATCTGGTCAGTATTATCAGAACTTTCACCATTGTTAATTAACAAACATCTATCAAATGCCAATGAGATGCTAGGCTCATGTGAGGCCCTGAGCATACAAAGCGGAATACAGCATAGTCCCTGTGGGGAAGGGAACCCCACAGAAACGATGCTGTATGATGCTTGCTGGGCCCCCAGGGACATATGCAAAGGACTGTGGGAGAATCCACAGTCTTCAGGTCTTTGAAACCAACAACTTCTCTATCCTAGGCCTGACCTGGGCCTCTGCTTCTCCCATACCTTTTTGTTTCCAGCTCTCATTTTGCTTTCCTTCCTTGATTTGTCTCTAGACTACACGACACACTCATAATTGCTGGCTTAAGTCCATTTTCCTCTCTAGCTTTTAAGTTCCATGAGGGCAGAGACTGTCCATCATTCTGCCCGTTATTGTGTCCCTGACATAGAGTAGGTGGCCATGACCCTTTGCTAAATGAATGTCTATAAAACTTCAGCTAAAACTGAAACTTGTAGAAATGGATTTGAAACCAGAGCAGATGACAATGATAGCTAACTGTCACACAGTGCTTGACTATATGGCAGCCGCAGTCCTTAGGACTTTATGTGAGTTACCACATTCAATCCTTATAACATCCTCTGAGACAATAGTGTACATTTTGCAGATGGGCAAGCTGACGCACAGACAATTCCTCCAACCAGAGAGAGCCAGGAAAGGGTGCAACAGGATTTGAAGCTGGGAAGAATGGCTGCAGATGCCATGTGTTTAAGCTGCTCCATTAAGCTATTAATAGGATGGCGTCCAGTCCAACAGCTCATTTAATTGCCGAGGCAACTGAGACTCAGAGATGGTACCCAAATTATCCATGGCTGGACGGCCGGAGATTGGCAGAGCTGGGAAGGAAAACCTGGTTTTTTTTTGTTTCCCAATACATTGGTTCTTTTCTCTAAATTTGATTGACTTATACTGAATTTTGATTGACTTCAAGTTTTACCATTTAATTCCCATTTTAGACTTTGTTTTTCTGTTGATTTTAGTGACTTGCTCATTTTCAGTTCACATGGTTTTGTCAGCACATGTCTAGAGTCTGAGTTTTCCAGCGTATACAACTGCATTTGTTCTTGGCTGGCCCCATGCTGAGCACATATGTGCTGGGCGTTGTGGGCAGTGACAGCAACATCATCACTAGTGTTGGTTTGTCACAGGTCACTCTTCCTAAGTGACCCTCTGGCTTCATAGTGGTTGCATCTTGTTCTCTTAGCCCAAACTCTCTCTAAATATGAAAGTCATCTATGAAGATGACAAGCACAGAGAAACAGGAAGGCATTATCTGTGAAAGAAGTTCCCTGGGACACCTAGAGGCAAGGAGAAACAAGTAACCTCTTAGAAATACACTTGGTAAAAACAAAACCAAACAAATGAAAAACAAGCACGCTCACTTTGGCAATGGCTGCCAGGGCTGGTCTCAGTCTGAACCACCCTCTTTAAGGAGGAAATGTAGTCAAGGATGAATTTCAAAGGGTGGCCACAAGGATAAAAATACTGTATAGTACAATGAGCAAATTTTCTAGTAGAGTAGTCAAAGATGTTTTTAAACTATGGTTTAATATATTTAATTTTTTATGAAAACAATTTAGTTGGAAAATAGAGACAAAAATTTACAGTTACTCGTACTTCCACACCCAGACACAATTATAGTTAGCATTTTGGTATACAATATTTATTTCATTCTTTGCTCTCTATGAATTTACTTTAGTAATTAGTGGTCATTGCAACATATATTCAAATTTATACTTTGCCTTTTGGTATTTATATTCCACCAGAATTTATTTTGTGTTGCCACCACATTTTTGTGTCATGTTTTGTTTTTCAGATTAATAAAAGTGTTATGAAAGAAATGAATGAGTTCTATAAAAATAAAAGAAATTTCTACCAGAACACTGTGGGTGATCTGCTAAAGTTCATTAGGAATATAGGAGAACACATTGATGAAGACAAGAATAAAGGGTAAGTATTGTTTTCGTTCCTATAAATCACGTCTGAAATGGGAATGATTAAGAAATCTAATTCTAAAATCATATCTGCTATGGAAAGAAAAAAATTTATTTTGATGAAAGAAAAGTAATTCCTCCCATCTGTTTGGAAAAGGGCTATCACTATGGCTTTAAAATTAATGATGGAAACATCCAGCAGGCTCTCATCTTCCTTTTTAGCTTTTGCTAGAAAAAAGGCAAAACAAATAGAACTGAAGCTAGTGAGTTTCTGGGTAAAGTAACACAGAAGACCTGATGGCTGGGTAAAGTGAATGTAGAGTTATAAAAGTCTAAAAATAGCCTCACGTTAGTTAAATCAGCTTTTGCTGCCAAAAATGCTAGGGGCAAACTCACAAAAAACTTGCAATTTGGGTCTCTTCTGGATTTTGGAATTGTACATAGGGAATTATGGCAGTGTACTATTTCCATTTGATAAATGAAAAAACTGAAGTTCAGAAAGATAAAATGGCCAAAGTTTGCGTAATTAGTTTATATTAGTTTAAGAACGGAGTCAGGAGATAAGTCTTGCTATGTCAGATTCCAAAGTCCTTATTCATTCTGCTATAGAAATCAAGAGAGCAAAGAGATCTTTGGGGCCGTGCGCTGTGAAAGGGGGAAGAGAAATTTGAGACTAGCATGCCAAACTGTTTGTGTTTCGTTTCAGGATAAAGTCGATCATTGGAGAACCTTCCCGTTATTTTCAGAAGACATTTCCAGATCTGATGATCTATGTCTATACAAAACTACAGAACACAGAATACAGGAGGCATTTCCCTGAAGCCCACAGTCCAAACAAGCCTCAGTGTGACAGAGATGGCGAGGCCAGCGGGCTGGCCAGCGCCAGGTGCTGACTTAAGTCGTCTGAGTTCAGGGTGCCACTTAGTAGCTGAGGGGTCTTTGCTTGGCAACCTGCAATTCTATGGGCCTCTTAACTAACGCAGTTGCTTGTGAGGGACGAGTTGGGTAGCCGATGTGTCGCTCCCTGGCAGAGTGCATTCCACATGTCTCTAACAAAAGCAATATGTGCCCTGACTACACTAGTCCATTTTGTCGGGGAAAGCTTACATGCGGAACCCGAAGGGCACTCTGCCAAGATTCCTCTCGTCAATTGCACCAAAGGAGTGAGAGCCTAGGCCCCTGATGCTGAATGTTTTACAATTGTCTCATGTAATCCTCCCAATGACCTTGCAAAACAGGGTTTATTATCCCCATTTAAGAACTGAGGAACCTGAGACTCAAGAGTTTGAGCTACTGGCCCAAGATCATACAACTTGTACAGAGCACTGTATAAATGGATGTGGTGTTATTGTTAACTCTCACCTGGGCACTTTAGAACTCAATTAGCAGCCGGGAGCTCTTCTGTTTAATTTCTTTTCTTTTCTTTCTTTTTTTGAGACAGAGTCTCACTTTGTCACCATGCGGAGAGTGCAGTGGTATCATTGTAGCTCCCTGCAACCTTCAACTCCTAGGCTCAAGGAATCCTCTTTCCTCAGCCTCCTGAGGGACTGCAGGCATGTGCCACAATGCCTGGCTAATTTTTCTATTTTTAGTAGAGATGGAGTCTCACTTTTGCTCAGGCTGATCTTGAACTCCTGAGCTCAAGCGATCCTCCCGCCTCGGCCTCCCAGAGTGTTAGGATTATAGGTGTGAGCCACTGCACCTGGCCCCAAAGCTCTTCTGGATGATACCCAAAAGGAATATGCCAAAGGGGCCCCAAGAGACTTATTCATTCATTCATTTGATATTTATTGAGCACCTAGTATAAGTCTAGGCACTAGTTGCGTGAATTCCATTCCTTCTTGAATCACTTGCACTGGTTTTCCATGACCTTAAGGCAGTAGTTCTCAACTCAAAATTTGTGAAGCATACTCTAAAGCTTTGCATCATTGTATTAGGTCTGATTTTCTTTGAGTGACATTTTCCACTTTAGAAAGTAGTATTATATACAATGGAAAATACTCAATAAGTAATTCCTGGGTAAGTTTTAAGAAAGGACATCCTGCTCTCTAAAAGTGGAAAAAGGAGCTATATTTGGCCCTCTAATAGTTCTGTAACAATGTGGGCCCGGAGTGTCTTTATAGAGAGAGAATTCTCTCTTGCTTGAATTCTCTGAGAGTTTCTGTTGACACTCCATAAATATTTCTCATTCAGTTGTCATCATCACAAACATTTTATTGAGCAGGTAGCTCATCTTAGGTACTGTGCTAGGCACGGTGATTCTGTGCCGGGGCTTGCCAAACAGAGGTGGCAGTTACACAGAGAAGAGAGGAGCTTGCCTATCCAGAACGTACAGATAAGCAACATAGGTGAGATGATGATGGTAAAAGTAATGAAGCTACTACTTATTGAGCACCTACTGTTTTCTAGTGCCTAGTGCTTTTCCGTATGGCATCCAGCAATATCCATGATGATGCTATAAGATGTGGTTATTCTCATTTTGTGGAAAAGACAACTGATGCTCAGAAAAGATTGGTAAGTTGCCCAAGTTCACACAGGTAGTGAGTGGAAGAGCCAGGATGTGAACCCAGGTCAGTGAGTCACACCTTAGGGTGTGGTCTTTCTGGAGTGCCAAAGACGGTGCGTTCAGGCAGGCTAGACTAGTCACTGTTCAATGTACAAGGGCTTTCATCCATTCCACTCCACTGAAGCCTAGCAGGTCAAGGTTACCAGTGACCTTCCCAGTGCCAAATCCACTGGGTCAGTTTTCTGTCTTCATCAACCTCCCAGCTACAGTTTACTCACCTGGCTACTCCCTTGCTCTTGGAACTGTCTCCAGCATCCTCAACCCTGTACTCACCTGCTTTTCCTCCCCTTGGCTTTCTTCTCCACAGTGTCCTTTGCCAGCCCCTTCTCTGCTCAGCCTGTCAACACTGGGTGCCTCCCACCTAATCCTCACGCAGTTCTCTCTTTGACCTTTCTCCCTAGATGATCTCCTTGAACACCGTGACTATGGTCACCGTAAATAGGCAGGTGATACCCAGGTTGGGAAATTCAGCTTCCACCTCTCAATGTTACTCTCACCCACCTAACTGCCTCCACATTATCAGTCTTATTTGATTTTTTCAGCCCCCTTTATCCAATCTGTTAACAAGTCCGGCTGGTTCTCCCACCGAAACAGATCCCAAATCACTTCACAGCCCTTTTTCTCCACTGCCTGGCTCAACCCA